TGACCACGAGACTGTCGCCATCACTGTCAAAGTACCTCATCATCGCCCCTGGGCTTACAAGGCAGGCCAATATGTCTTCGTGCAGATACCACAACTGTCCAGATTCCAGTGGCACCCCTTCACCGTCTCAACCTGCATCAATAACACCATGCAAGTTCATATCAAGGCCGATGGCAACTGGACAAATGCACTGCGTGACATTGCAGAGAAAGGAAGCAACAGCACCATCAAAATTGGTCTTGATGGACCTTTTGGGGCTCCAGCACAGCGATTTTATGACTACGATTACAGCATGGTATTTGGGTAAGCCATGGTACATTTTCTAGCCCTACTCAAGCTCAAGCTGAAACTTTACAGAGCCGGTATTGGTGTGACACCCTTTTCTGGGGTCTTGACCGATCTTCAACACCATGAACTGGAACGAGTCAAGCCCAAGTCTCATTCCAGCAGCGATGCCTCGTCCGAAACCCCCAGGGAGCCTTCACCTTACGCCAACCATCGGCGCGTCGACTTCCACTGGCAAGTCCGCGACAAGAACAATCTTCTCTGGTTCTCCGACCTCCTCAACGAAGTCTGGCGCGCCCAACAACTCGATAGCTCCAACCTCGATATCCGCATCAACACCTATGTCACGCAGAAGCGAAAACAGATTTCCGAGCACGTGTTCCGCTGGCTGCTTGAAAAGCACCGCACGGATGAGCATCCGCAGTCGCTCATTACTGGATTAATCAATCCCACGCATTTCGGTCGACCGGACGTCAAATTGATCATGGAGGAGCACTACTCGGATATGACAAAGGTCCTGGCTGAGCGCATGAATAACGAAAAGGATGCGAAGAAGAAGGAGCAGGGGGATGCAGAGGTCAAGATCGGGGTGTTCTTTTGCGGGCCGCCGGTGGTGGGCCAGCAGATTGCAGATCAATGTAGTCAAATGACTGCAAAGGCAAGGAATGAGGGGAGAAATATCGAGTATCGGTTCATGATTGAAGTGTTTGGATGATAAGAACTATGTGGAGCAATAGAGTGCTTGATAATGCACATTGCGACCTGATGGCCGAGCACAGGTAGGTAGAAGAAGTAGAAACATTTCATTACTGAAACACTCACAACCATCAGTCGGTTGCTCTACAGTCTTGGGATTTTCAGGTCTTTTCTAGAGTCCAAAGTGGGTTCGAATGGCAAACGTCAAACAGAATCATACTGAATGACCATCAGCATGTCTTGGATGTCATCGCAACCAGTCTGTCCATAGTACGGTACCTACCGTAGTAGACCTCGATGACGGCCGAACCATCCACTTGCTCAATCCGCAACCATCAAGCCTCATGAGGTACCATACACATACCCAGACCCCCTCCCACATGCATACATGTGTTCCCTGATACAGACAGTAGTTTCCATGACATCCGCGACTAACCGTCACCCCTGATGTTGTTCAAGTCCCTCCTCACCTGACCCGCCCCTCACTCGTTTAAACCTGCTGTGTCCCGCCGTCTCGCCGCCCTCGTCTAAGCCTTCCTCACCTCAATCACGCCATCCCCGCCAAACCGCAACAAGTCAACATGGTGCAGGTAAGATCCCCACGATATCTTACACAGATTACCGCATTAGGTGGACTATGACGCTTTGCCGAAACCGTTGTCTTGTCTCCTGCGCTAGGTTGGGGAGGGGTGCGCTGTTGCTTGGGAGACTGGCTGACTGGTTTCCGGCATGGAATAGTGTCAGGCAACGAAGCTCGAATATTCGGTCGAGAAGCCGTTGAATAGGGAGCCGGATGTTGGGGAATTGGTCGAGAGGTATGATCGCCAGCCTTTCCTCCTTCTCATCTGTCAAGCATCTTTTCATGCAGGGTTTCCGAGGACATGGTAAGGCTAACAAAGTATGTTCATGAAACAGTTTCATCACGGAAAACGGCTATGATCGCAATCACGGACCCATTCCCTACCTCGATCCTGCCAAACACCGCCTCTCCATCACCGGGCTCGTGAACAAGAAACTCGAGCTCTCTGTAGCGGATCTCGAGGCGCTGCCGCAATACACTGTAGTATGCGCTCTGCAATGTGCGGGCAACAGACGCCACACTATGCGCACCAAGCTCAAGGAAGTACACGGTATAGACTGGTGTGATGGTGCCGTCATGAACTGCAAATGGAGAGGCCCTTTGGTCGCCGATGTGCTATCCAAAGCAGGAATCAACCTCGAGCAAGAGAAGTGGAAAGACGCACATGCTGCCTTTTCATGCTACCAGACCGAGTGCCAGGACGACAAGTTCTACGGCGCCAGTTTACCCTTGTCCCGCGTCATGGACAAGAATGGCGGGATCATGCTAGCCCTCCAGATGAACGACAAGCCGCTAACACCGAAGCACGGAGCGCCGGTCAGAGTAGTCACGCCTGGGATTGCGGGCGCGAGGAGCGTCAAGTGGCTGGATCGGATTTCTGTGCAAATGACAGAAAGTGAAAGCTACTACCAACAACACGACTACAAAATCTTGCCCCCAGAGGCCGATACTAAGGAGAAGGCGGAAGAGTGGTGGGGGAAATGCGAGGCTATGCACGACATGCCCATCAACAGCGTCATTGGGGTTCCGAAATCCCATTCCAGGGTGGAAAGAGATGGGGATGGCATGATTCAAGTCAAGGGGTATGCGCTCCCTAGTGGTGCTGATGGACCGATTGCCAAGGTAGAGGTGAGTGCGGATGAGGGTAAGACTTGGGTTGAGGCAGAACTGCACAAGTCGTATGAAGGAGAGGACGCAAAGCATGTGGAATTGAAGTGGGCGTGGGCCTTATGGAGGGCCAAAATCAAGGTTGAGCCGGGCAATAACGTCAACATCTGGAGTCGGGCGACGGACAAGAGTGGGAATACGCAGAAGCAGAATTGCGTGTGGAACTTTAGGGGTGTGGGGTACAATGCCTATGGTGAAGTAGAGGGTTTGGAGATTGTATGAGCGATTGTGTTGGACTGATCCTGAGTCTTGAGTTCACATGAATACGTCTGTAGTCTCGTCCATATGAACTTTAATGTACACGTCCCTTGCACATGTCTATACACGTGTATTCCACGGCATACATGCATCCAAGTCTATGAACCTCCCAACGCCGCTAATGCCGCTTATCATAAGTCATGAAATCTTCCTCGGATCCACATCCTCTCGTGCCCAACGCATTCACAATCCTAGACTCTTCCTCACATTGTCCCTGACAATCTTCTCATAATCCGCCCGTTTCTCCCTCCACATCCTCGCCGCATCCACATTTGCCGGACTCTCATCGTTCGGCTCAGCCAACATGCTCATAACGCTTATTAGGATCTTCTCCACGCTTTGAATAGGCGACCAGCGTTCGGACGCTTGCTCGTAGTGCATTGGGTCTTCGCCGGGCGCGTGTAGAATCGATATGCATACTTCGCCGTTCTTGTAGACTATCGCAACCTCAGTCAGTAACTCCTCATGCACTTGTTGTTGACTTAACCCCGCATTCCCCAACGCAGGGCGTGTGCAGGTAGACAGTGGGGTAACAAGACGTACCATTAGGGTGCCACATATCCGTCACAAACTTCATCTTCGGTGGCGCAAGAGGATAGTCCTTCGGGAACCGCAGTTCGGCGGGGAAGACGCCGCCTTCAAAGGGTGTACCTTCGGGGCCTTGGATCAGGGCTTCCCAGATGAACATGTCATCTTCGCTAACGGGCCCGGCTGTGATGCCCTCTGGTGGGTCAGAGGCCAGCGCGCGGTACTCTTTGAAGAGGCGTTTGGAGGCTGAGGAGGCCATTGTGGAGACGTGCGAT